TAGTTACAAAGACTAAAAGTAAAATAATAAAACTGTTCTATTATTTTGCTATTATATTACTATTATATTACTTATATTGACAAACCTTCTGTTATTTTACTATTATTTAGCTGTTATACTGCTGTTATGCTGCCATTATTTGGCAAATACAGAGTAGAATAATGGCAGATTTTTTTTTTGTTATTTACCTATTATTTATCCTTTATTTATTTATTTAATCTGTAAAACCATGTGAATATCTTCTAAAAACTACTTTAAAACACATATATCAAATTACAAACTAACTATCATGGTTTTACTAACAACAGATTTCAGGCTGGCATACATCACAAAACAACATGATTGAGCTTTCACATTAAAATACATTTCTTATAAAGAAAAACTACTAGCTCTAAACATTGATCTATCATCTTTAGCAATCAAGAATTTCAAGATTAAACTGCTATTTAAGAAACTTCCAACTTATTTACTACTGTATTGAAAAAATAGCAAAAAATATTAAACCACTTATGTTCAAGATGCTATAGTGCCTCTAGAGACATTGTTTATTTATTAACTTGTATTTAGAACTACATATAGTTTTTAACTCTAATTAGACAAACAGTATATAAAACTTTATGAAAATTAGAAATATTATGCTTGCACTTAGATGCTTTTGTTAGAGCATTTGTAATTATATATATAACCAAGCAGATACTATTAGGACTTATTACTAGAGACATACTAGCACCTTTTGACACAAATAGTCATAGACTCAAATACGCTTTACTAATACATTACAACATTATTATTGCAATATACAAAACAATTTGGCTCATTTCTAGGAAGTCAAATCATGATTTAATTCTTCTAAACTCTGCTCTAATACAGGCTTCAATACTAAACAAAACTAAGCCATTAGCTCCATCTGTTATAGAAAGAAAATTAATTAGATCTATAAACAATGGACAATTCTTACTAACACATCTTTTTAAAGACTAGAGGTTTAGTGACTATTTTAGCAAAGAATAGATCGAAAGTAAAGTAGCTCTTACCTCTATCTCTCCTAATATAGTTTTTTCATATGTATTTGTTTTATATATATATAATTGACTATAAACAAAAAAGATAGAGGATAGATCTCTCTTTAAAAAAAAAAAATAATAAAAATTTAAAATATATATATATATATTTGCTTTTACTAAGATAATTGGTTATTAGCAGCTATTGCCTTTATTGTAATTTAATTATAATTATATAACTTGTACAAGATGAGTATACAACTAGTTATATATACAGCTTTTGGCTATCTATTAAAATAATCTGTTTGCAAGTTCTATGCTAGCTGTTATAACTATAATCTGCTAGAAAATTACTTAATTAAACCTTTGATTTTTATATTACACCTAACAGATAGCATATAAGTTTTCATATATCTAAGTGCTGTTTAATCTAATTTTAACCTTTTTGTCTGTATATCTATCAAGTTGTTATATATTTTACCTAACTATAAGGCTTCAGGAGGCTTTTCTGCTAATTAACTATTTATATTTAGTCTTTGTTAACAGAATTTATTCTTGCAAAGTTTATTTAGACCTTTGTACTTATTTTATAGTATATTTCTATTACTTATAATATGCTTTTATTACTAAATTTTTAATTCAGATAGCCTAAAAGAATTGTAATCTGTTTCTGATATACTAAGATTACAATATCTAATATCCTTTTTCTCTGATTCAAAACTTTTAGCAGTCTAATTATTGGTATTTTTTAACCAAGTTTCTTGCTTATCTAATTTCTCTATATTGATATCTGTTTTCTAGATCTAATTGTTACAATAATATCATTAAAGATTTGTGTTATCTTTTTGATTAGGTTTTTTCAAGTAGACTTTAGCTTCTTAGTTCTACAGATTTATATAGTTACAAAAACTTATTTTGTGTTTGCATTGCCTATTACTAGTTTGCATTTATGTAATCTATAACTTAGAAGACAATCAACAAATTATACAATACAATTTTATTTTATTTTTATATTTAATACTGTTAATTTTATGCATTATCATTTATTTATAATAATTAGCTAGAATACATCAGAATTTTGGTTGGCTAGGCTAAACTTGATTAATTTTATTTAAACCCAATCAATTCATTGAGTAAAATGCCTATCTGATAATTTCAATCTAGGCTCTATTTGCTAATATTGATTAATACTGGCCTAACACCAATGAATTTTAACTTAAAATTTTAAAAATTGTTCTATAAAAAATAAATTTTGCTCAAATTCAAACTAACATTAACTCATACAAGGAAATTTTCCAAATTCTAAATCAGAATTCAGTAAATTCTAGTTGGCTATATACATTCTTAAGCACTTTAATCAATAGAATGAAGATGAAATTTAACTAGTCTGAAATTAAATCAATAAATAAATTCTGAAGATGCAGACCATCTTTTATAGAATTGTATTTCATACAACAAATTTTTAATAAGTTATTCTTCAATTATCTGCATTAATCACTTAATTAACTGCAATAATTTAAGTAACCTCTCAAGTACTAGCAAATTGTACTAAGAGGCTGCTTGAGAACATTCTTGCATTAAATAAAAATGCATATCTAATAATTTGCTACATACTTGGTTAGCCAGTACTACTTAATGCTAGCTTAGCTCAATGAATTAATCTGATGTTTATTACAGAGAAGTCTAAAATTTTGTGAGATGGTATATATTTGTGCCTATTAAGAACAATGCATATTTGGTTCTAAATTGGTATTCTTGATTGCACAATAAACATAACTTACCATTTACTGATGTTGAAACATAGTTCACTAGTGATAGAAAAGTCTAAAGGTGGTTTTTGCAATAGTTAGATATACAAGCTAGTTCAAGCTAGGCTTCTGCAAAAATTACCTATGCAATTTTGGAATTTTTGAAGGTTATAAAAACAGTGTTTCACAAATAAAGCTTATTTGTCAAAAGTGAGTTTATTATACTAATTATATATATCAGTTTTGGGTCAAGCACCAATAGTGAAACACTGTTTTTATAGCTTTTGAAAATTTTTAAATTACATAGGTAATTTTTGTAAAAGGCTAGTTTAAGCTGATAATGCCTTTATTTTTGTTAATTTTCATAAATTTTCGATAAAAAGATCTATATGTAATTTGCTATTAAAGAAAATTCTATTAGAATAATTCATTTATTAAAATCAGCCAATAATAGAGACAATAAAAGAAATAATTTTCATTTTGTTATATTGTTATTAATATAAAAATTTAAAAAAACATTCTTAGAATGGACCTATGTTTTACATATTTATCATAGAACTAAACTGACACAATATCAATTTCTATAATTAAAGATTTTAAACAACTAACCAAATATAAATTAAATATGAATAATTATTATTCGAAAAAAGGATATACCTAATGCAGTTAGATGAAATTTAGTAACAATAAAAAAAAAATTTAAAAGAAGAAAACAACTTTATTGAAATAACAAAAAAAGTTTAACAATATGACCAAAAGATAGTACCATGGATCTAATAATAGGTAAACATATATAAGTATATATATACATACATATATATGCATGTCATTATTTATAAACTCAATTGTACATTTTGATATTATGTTTCAACTTTTTTTGGCTACTCAAATAAAGTGGTAATTCTACTTATTAAGAAATATAATATTAAAGGAAAATGGTAATTTCTAAATTTGAATTAAAAAGGCTTAAAATATTGCAATTCAGACAAGTCTTTGTAATCATTGTAATCTGCCATAATCCTAAAATACTTACATATAAAAAAAATATATTATTTGTAATAAATAAGGCTTCAAATGCTATTTAAGATCAATAAAATATCTTTGAAGCTGAGCTATCTCAAATAAATGCAGAGATTTTAAAACTTTCTAACTTTAATACACACTTATTTTATAAGTCATCATCTGATTTGTATTAAAAATTCACTAATGCTTATGTCTATTATAAGCAAATGACTTTTTGCAACCCTATCTTCAATAAACAAAAATTATTAAGTGGAGCCCAAATAGCATAAAAGAAAATAATAAATGAAAATGAAACTATAATTCATGAAAAAATTTAATCATATTTAATAACAGTTCCTAGTACAATTCATATACATCATATCTTTATTGTAAACATCAACTTCAACATAACATCTACATTCACATTGGCATCATTCTTATCTACTTTAGTAATTTTATCACAGCTGTTTGATAATAATACTGATACTATTGCAAAAAATACAGTAGGTCAAAGAAATTTAAAAGCTAAAATTAACAAAGCAACTCAATAAATATCTGAATATAAACAAGCAATCAAACTTATTAATAATCAAAATATAAAAGATGGATTGTTAACCAAAATTGAAAAGAACTAAATAATTATTAAAGTAAGTAAAAAAGACTAGAAAAGCTTAAATGTCATACAAAAGCTCAAGCTAAACTTAGGGCAAAAAAAAAAACAACTAGATGATGAAAGTATTGTTAAACAATATAACAAGCCTGAACAACCACTAGCAGCTATGTTCAATTCAGATCTTTGAGACAATATCTATAATTGTATAAAATTTAGATCTGCTCATGCTAAAAGACAAAAGACAATAATTAAAGTTTGTATCATTAAACATTTGCATAAAGCATTAGAAGAAAAATATAATACTTATTTCTTATACTGATGTTTGTCTACATATTTGGAACCTTAATACAAACACATGTTTACAGCCCACTGTCACCATCATCTTGCAAAAGTCAGTCTAGCATTAGTAACAAGAACTAATATAAAACCACATATTGATAAACACTATTGTTTGATGTTTATTAAAGCAGCTTAAGTTTTTGCAAAAATATTTGCAAGTGATACTGTTGTTATCTCTTAAGATGACAAGGCTAAAATTAGTTTAGGTATTTCTGCAATGGGCCATATATTTAAGACCATGTAATTGGTAAATGAACTAGTTATTATTAAAGATCATGATTTTTTAAAGAAAATAAAATGAAACTTATACCTTCAGTATACCTTCTTATTAATCCTAATAATTCGAATACTACATTTCACTCTGAACAACTTGCTATCTTTATTAGGCTTGAATATTTTGTGAACACATCTTCTTTAATGCATATGCCTGATTTATTAATCTTTGTTAACAACCAAGATTTTGCTCCTGTTTTATTAAAAGAAAATAAGGTTAGACTAATATAGATTCTTTTTGTTAATAGGAGGCCTGATGAGAATTCAAAACACTTTAAAAATATTATTAAATATTGCAACTTATTCTAGGCTCTAGATCTTGATTATTTAACTATCTGCACACATGCACCATATCAAAGTGCATATAATTCTGTAAAAAGAAGCATGGCTTTCTTATCAGAAAAACTTACTGGTATTACTCTGCCTATAGATGAATATGGTGTGCATTTAGATTCTCAAAAAAATGTTGTCAATAAAGAGTTAGCACAATATAATTTTGAATTTTCAGAAAATAGGTTATGTGAACTTTGGAATAGAGATAATATATATGATAAACCTGTAACAGTATACTATGTTGATCAAATTAGTCAACCATTTGGTGATATTGTATTCTTAACATGAAAATAGATTGAGCATCATGCTCAGTTATGTCAATATTTATTGTATCTAAAAAAATACAAGAATCATCAGTATTGTCATGAATACAAAACTTCTAATGCAGCACTTTTACTGGTCCAAAATAATGGATTCCTTCTTCCAATTGCAAAGGAATAAATAAACATTTTATTGACCCCATACATTCTTACCAATATTTTAACAAATTAAAAATACTATTATATAATTATTTATATTCATCAATTTTGAAGAAAATATACCAGCACCTATGTTACAGCAAGTGTAACAAGTATTACTCTACCTTAAAGTTCCTTACTAATCATAAACATTAGCAACATCTATTTAAATGTGGTTAACCTCAAAAGCAGGTTGATGCTACTGACTTGTTAAACTTTAGAGTTACTAAAGATGTAGTTGTTTGTAATATATTAGATAAGATTTCAAATTTGCATAATGTACAATCTGATATTGAATAGGAATTAATAGATGTTAAAATCTATAATTAATATTAGTTTTTTAATTAAAGCTGCTAAGTATAGTTTTTTTAAAAGTATACATAAAAAAATAAATGAGCCTGTTGGCTACAATCTATATAACTTTTATCTTTATAATCTGTAACTTTATGCATACATGTTCATACATATATATGTACATACATTTTAATTTTTTATCTGAACAATAAAATTTTGTACTATGCTATAAACCATAGTTTATAATCTTGGCTTGGCAGCTGTTAATATATTATATATAGATATAATTACTAGCTAACCCTATGTATTTATAATATAAATCAGGTAATAAATAGCATGCCCCTACTATAGGCTAAATATTATTTAGAATATATAAAGTTTTTGTTTTGAAAATGATCTTATAGCATTAAAAATATTTTTTGAATAAACAACAATTAAAGATTGTATAACCAAAACAACCCAAATTTGATTTGTTGCTAATTTTAGATATGCTGATCATTGATCTTTGCAGGTTTTAGAAATACTTTAAGACCAGGTCATAGATTAACCAATCAAAATTATGAATTTTGATTAGAACTAATTCTGTAATTCGAGAAAATAATTTTATTTATTTTTTTGCTCTTGCAATATATAAAATTTAAGTAACTGCAAACATTAAATTGCAAATGTTTGCTTATTAAAAATTAATTAAAAATTAAACTATCTATATAACACTTGTTAAAAGTAAAGAATTTTAAGTTACAGAATTATTAAACTTTAACTTGATATAGTAAAGTACATGTAGTATTCTTTTATTTATACTTGTTAGAAATAAAACTAATTTTATAAAATGATAAAAACAAAATCTAGTCATTTGAAAGATGAAACCCTTGACAAAAAATAAACTTCTAATAAAAGATAAAATTTCTAACAAAATTTTGACAAAAATAAATCAGAGTAAAGCCAAAAAGAGGAAATATTAATATTATATGACTAATCTTACAATACTGGTTCATTCTACTAGTGCATACTATGATTATAATCTAATACTTGTTTTATTATAAAGTAGTATTAGATTTAATTATAACATGTACTGTACTAGTAAAATAATCCAGCATTGTAAAATAATTTCTTTATGTATTAAACACTAAGTGTAAGATTAGTTGCATAATATCAACATTTCCTTATATTGATAAAGTCATTACTAAAAAAAAACTATAAATTATGTTATTATAATAAATTTATTGACATTATAAATCTACTAGTTCTTACTTTTTGTTAGTTTTGTAATTTTATCTTTTAAACCAAAAGCTAAAATGTAGGTTTGACTTTTATTAATAATAAAACCTATAAATTTTATCTAATAGTTATATATTTGATATATTGAAGATTTTTTCTTAGTCTGATAATTTCATAGCTTTGCAATTTTTTATTACTTTAAGATTATAATAAATTTAGCTTAAAATCAGTCTATTTTACTACTATCATCTTATATAAAAGTAACTGTTATATATACTTATAATTGATCTATTAATTATTTTGGATCTCTCATAATGTCTAAAGCAAAATATTTGGCTCTCCAACCAAATTTTGCAAACTCTTAATATTTTGCTTGTTCTTTACTAGTTTTAGAACTTTAATTCTATATTTTTTATTATCTATAATGTTAATTTCCTTAAACACCTCAGAATACTAACTTCTTCAAATATTTTAAAATATTTTAAAAATAAAAAAATATTTTAAGACTTTGAACAAAGAATATCTTTATATAGGTTATCAACATGTTAATGAATTTTCATATATAAATATTTTTTGTAATTATCTGATAATGATATAGTAGAAAGAGTATTTAGGTTACTATTTTTATCAACTTTAATATTATATAATAATTGAAAAGGAGTTTCTTTTCCACCTAATTTTTTTGAAATATAAACTCTTCTAATTTTAGAGTTATTAAATTAAAAATGGTGATATTATTTTATATTTGTTAAGATCATAAAGTTATTTTTAAAAAAAGTACTAAAATTATGCCAAACTCATTTTTTACTATTTTTATATTGAACTGCTTCATTTTCTCTTAATAAACTGTTTATAATATTTTCAATATTATTAATAATATTAACATAATTATCTTTATAAATTTTTTTAATTTGTTTAAAAAATAAGTCATAAATAAATTTTGTATAACTAGGAAGCATAAAATTAACAATTTTTTCTTATACCAATTTAATAAACATAACCAAGATCAAAACTAAAGTGATAGGTTATTTTTATTTTGATCACTACAGTTATCACAAGTAACAGTAACTCATAATTTTTTTTTTATAATTTTTTTTTGAAAAAAATAATAAATCATATTTAATATAGTGTTAGCTCCTTTTGAAACACTTTCAGAAAATTCATTTTTACTAATTAAAAAATTCAACTAATAATTTTGCTTATTAGTTTTACAAACACCAAAAATATATACAGAAAAGGAAGACTTAAAATAAAGTGAATCTACTTGTTGCAGTAAATACAGTATAAAAACATTTTGTGTCCAATTATAACAGATATATGTAATGTCTAAATTATTTTTACTTTTTTCAATGTTATTATTATAATATTGTCTTTTAAGATCTGCAGCTTTCTTATGTTCATTATACTTGACTTGAATTTTATTATATTTATTAGCATCTTGTTTTGCAGCTAATAATTTACTTTAAAAAAAGTGCAAACTTTACAAAGATCATTTGCAGGTGACAGAAATCGAAGATTTGGAATCATTTCATATTATAATTTTCTGAAAGTAAAATAAGAAATTATTTTTTCAGATTGATCATATATAAGATAAAAGTATTTTTTATATTTATTATAAACTGAAGTATAAGTTTGGCCAGTTGAGATATAAATAAAAATGTCAAAATCATCCTAATGCTATAATGGAAAATGAAATCTGTGAATTGTTCTATATTAAGTTAAAAATTCTTTAATAGAAAATGTTATATTATAATCTAAAAAAACTTTTAATTCTGTTTAAGATACAAGTTCAGCATTCTCATAAACACATTTAGTTAATTTGTTCAATTGTAAATGATTTTATAAAATAAAAAGTAAGTAATTGCTAATTCTATATAATTTTAAATATACTGGCTTACAAAGAAGTAAAGAATTATTGTAATTGTATCTATATGTATGTTTATATATTTTATTCTTTGATTTTTTATTGCTAATTTTAAATGATATTAATTGTGATTTTATAAAGAATTCAAGTTTGTATTCTTTTAAAGCTTTTATTTCAAAATGTCTTTTAAAAAAATGTTTAAAATCTACTTTTTCAAAACAAGTTCTAAGGTCCTTTTGTTTTGAAGTTTGACAGCAAGTACAATTATTTGGATTTTCAAAAAATGATTTTAAATTGTAAATAGTATCAAAAACTAGATCATTTTCTTCATAATCATCTAATTTTAATTTAACCAAATTGTAAAAAGGTCTTGAAGTATTAACAACTAATTGTTGAGACATTTTTTTTTTAAAAAAAATAAATAAATATGGTACATACAATAAATATTTATATAATATTAAAAAGAAATAATCAGATTATAAATAGTGTCTCACATATTTATATTGTGACTCTTTCTGTATATCATTTTTATACAAAATTACCAAAAATCTGTCAGTACTAAAATTGTTAATAAGGGGTGTGGCGACTTAGTGAAGTGGATAGGTTGTCAACCCCCAAGTGGCAGGTCTAGAGTTCAAATCCCAGTGATGATGAAAATTTG